CTTCCAGTTAAGATTAATGGGAACTAGAAGCCAAAGCCATTGTAATAGCTTTGTAAGAAGCCTGTATAATTTATACCTTTACGAGATAGTAGCACATTTCTTCTAAGGCCAGCGGAGAGCTGTGGGTTCAGGACAGAGGAGCTCTGTGTGTGATAGCACCTGGACTTTCTCTGCAAGGCCTCTCCTTTAGCTATTGCTTGATCCAGCCACTTAAACCAAGCCTTAACACCAAATGCCATTTTAAATACGAGCATGAAAATAAAACCTAGCCTGGAAGCAGGCAGCTGTGTCCCAAAACACAGTCGGAGCCAGGGTCTGCACGGGCTTCATTGTGCATGTGCATGGGAAGCTGCAGGTTGTGTGGGCTGCCGGGCTAGTAGGAGCTGCCCGCTTTGCTCTGCAGCTCTTGGGGCTGGCTGGGCCAGCCTTGTGGAGGCAGAAGCAGGAGCAGAGCAAGCAAGGGCCTGCCAGGGAAGTGTGAAAATTGCAGGGGAGCAGGTACACAGAAGACAGCGACTGTCCCTTCGAACAGTCCCCAAGTGCTGCCTGGCCAGCACGCAGCATGGGAGCTGCTGAAAGCCGCTCGCAGGGTGGCCTTTGGTTTGCAGTGCTTGCAGGCTTTTACTGAAGTACCTTAAAACTGCACAATGAACTCTGTTAAAGCTGCAAGCGTGCTGTCAGATCAGGGAGCACTGAAATTTCATGAACCAAAGCACTGGTGCAAATTGAAAGGCACGTGGATGAAGAACAAGCACAGCCTGCAGGAAGCCGTCACCCCTGCAACCATCAAATGTACCAGTTGCTAGCAAGCAAAACGATCCATCTGGCAAAGTCGCACATCATAAATCCTACAGGAAAGGATTCTGGAGCGAGCCTTTCCGCAGTAAAGGAGGAGCAGAGAGGAAGAAATAAAAACAGAGCCCAGAAACCTCCCCACAGAAAACACCTCAAATAGAAAGGTACCCTTTCCACCAGAAAAGGTGGATGGGAAGATGCAGTGCTGTGTGATGTTGTGGTACCAGAGTGGATTACAGTGCTGACCAGCTAGAGATTGCATGGGATTTTCATCCCATACAAACAATTTTGTTCCTTTTATACAAATAAAAAAGAGACTGACATGAATGAGGCTTGGGACATGCATGTTGTGCAATTCTAGAAAAAGAGCTGTCAACAGAGCTATGCCTGTCAGAAAAATACGTGGTTGATCAGTTCTCCTAGAAGCATCTTGTTAACGTTGTTATCCTTTAAATCCTGTTTTCTGCAAGTACCGTGCCTTTTCTCCCAAAGAAGCACAAAGTGTTTTAAAACTGAATCACAGAATCATATTACTATGGTCCATTTGTTAGCAGTAGAGATGTAGCAAAGGCTACAAAAAGAGGCAGCCAGCACAGTTCCCTGTTGAAAAGAGAGTGTCATGAAATACAGGCCAGTAGAAGACTATAAGCTGAGCAGTACTGGTCAAACCAAAACCCTGTCTTGTCTCTGACAGTGGCGGACAGGCAATGTTTAAGGAAGAAGATCAGCATGAGCATGCAATGTTAATATTCTTCTGGCCATCTAAGATGAGCAGCTCAGAGACAACCTAAGTCTTTGTTTCTGCTCATTGCAGGGGCGTTGAACTAGATGACCTTTAAAGGTCCCTTCCAACCCAAACGAGTCTATGATTCTATGATTTCAAGTCAGCCTCAGTGTCTTTACATTTAATAGTCTTTGATGGATTTCTCTTCCACGAACGTGTCTAGTGGCTGTTTGAACAAATCTAATCTTGTAGCATCCACAGTATTTGTGACAAGAGCTCCAGTGTCATGTACACAGTGTGCAAAGACACATCTCCATTTACTTCTTTTAAATCTGCCCCTTCCTGGCTCTTGTATCAGAAAAAATAGTGAACATCCCCACTCATTTCCCCTGGGCTACCTGTTGCTTTACAGGCACAGCCAGCATCTCCTTCCCTAGCTGGAAAGCGATGATCTCTTTAGTAGCTTCTTATACAGAGGTTGACCTGGCTGCAGTCCTTTTTTGTGCCATCTTGGGTTCTGGTTTTCCCTTTGGAGATGGCGAGACCATCCTGCACACACGATATTTATGTCACCCTGGTTTTCTCTCTATTCCATTCATAGTAATTCCTAATGTTCATTTTGAGTTTTGATGTACTGAATACAGATCTTTATCTATTATAACCCTGAAATCTCACTCCTGCATGGCAACACGGAGTCCAGAGCCTCCCAAGGTGCCTGATTGCTCTGGGATGTTGCTGCAGCTGGGACTCCATGCTCACGAGGGCAGTAGCTGCAACTAGTTTGGGAGCAAGGATGGAGAGACCTGCCAATTCAGAGAGCAGCTCTTGTGGGGGGACAAAGGGAAGTAAAAAGTCTCGCTTAGAAAATGTTACTTGTGCCTGGGTTAAAATGTGGCCCCCTTTGACACCATGTGGCTGCATATCACAGACAAGCACCTTGAAGCATGAGGCCAAGGGAGATTTTCATGGGTTTCCACCACACTAGCAGGTAAATTCCCAGATTCACAAGTGACTCCATTCAGTTACTTTATGATTAGCTGTATTCCCCCATCATCCTGGGCCACTGGAAATAACGTTAACAAATATCTACCTGGTCCTGAGTCATCTGCAGTTCTATGACCGATGTTGGTAAAGTGAGCCTCACATACAGTTTATTTGCAGTCATGCATGTTCATTCACCTCCGCTGCAAACACCATTCAGGTGTGCCTGGTGATCCAGAAATGACTTCCCACAGCTATTTTACCTTAACTGCCACACGGTACCAGGCAGATTTTACTCCCTGTTGGCTGGTGTGGTAGAATAAGTCCTTCATTCAGCCTCCAATACAACTCCATCTATCCTGAATGACTTGGAAAGTTGTAAAATTACTGAGATAAACAGAGATCTGAATAAGCAAGGGAGCAGTTTTGGGTGCTAGCTGCAGTCTGGGTGGAAAGGGACTCACATGAAGTGAGATGTAGTGGGAGATGGCGAGGGGGTTTGTGCAGTAACATCAGTCATGTACCAACTGCCTCCCCAAGTACTTCAACGAATTAAGGAGAAACAGGGAGTGTGCCTGGAGCAAGTTACAGAAAAGAAATGGTGAAATTAGACCAGTGGGAATAAGCAAGGTGCCCCTGAGACAGGGGCCTCTGCAAACACACAGGCAAACTGGTCACAAAGCTCCTGCAAGGTGGACGAAGGCCTGGAGCGGCTCACCCGTCAGCAAGTCAGATCTCCAGCTGGTCTCAGTCCCAGGGCTGAGAACAAAGCAGAAGGGAATAAGGAGGTGAGGACGGGGAAAAGAGGGCTGCCTCTTGATGGATGTGATTGCGAACGATCTGAAGCCACCTTTCATTTTTGCTGTCCCAGTCAGTGAGAACAGCGCAGCGTAAACACACGAGAGATTCAGAGCACTGTAGTCATTCAGACCGTCTGCTTTCCACCACACGCCTAGGTTATTCGGGACTAACATCAATAGTAGGGCAACAGAGAGGAGAGCCACAGGCACTGACGTTGCCATGTGGACTTCCCTTCACACAATCCATCTACGCAGAAAGGCCATTAATGATTGTGCAGGGATTCTTACACAATTCCTACCATGCACGTCATTTAACCTTTGCAGGCAGCTCACCAGCCTGTTCTCAGAAATCTGGTGAAATACTCCCCCTGCAAAGAGTTAATTAATGCAGCTTGGACTATAAAGTATAGTTAATTTTTCACAAACTACGGCTACTGTCGATGAGAGTAGGGAGGCAGCGATAGTTTCACTGCTCCTTTTTTTTTTATAAATAACTTTGACTGGTGGGTTCATAGAGTACAGACACTTTATTCTCTCAATATTTAGACATTCAGTTAGACAGATGAACTCAGCTGGTTGGAGAGTGTATACAAATTGCCTACTCTGTATATGCCTCATGTACTTACTGATAAAACACAGAATTGCTGAGGTTCCTCTCAACCGAGTTCATCCAACTGCTTGTCAGAAGAACATGGATGAGAAGGTGTCTGGCCAAGCTATTCCTTAGTTGTAGCACTGTAATCCTGGCGCGAGCCACACTAAACCCATGATTTACACTGATTAATACACTGAAGGGCTGTTGATCCTAACCATTCTCTCTGTGGCAGACTTCTGTACATCTGGTACGACACTCTCTTCTCTTAATAAACCTGAACAGAGGCTGGATGTTCACTGCTGCTATCTGTACATAAAATCAGAAGGGCCTGTGCAGACTGGGGCTCGCCTGGCAACAGACTGACTCTGGAGCTCATAAAAATTCTGCTCCTGTGTGTTTATTCATTTGGAAATGACCCAATATTTACCCCTGCATTTTATTGAAATAGATCCTGCTGGAATTATGTTCCCAGTTCCTGAGGGGATCATGAGGATCAATAGCTGCAGACTAGAAGTTCATCCCAAAACACAAATGCTGGACTGCAGGACACTCTTCTCAGAACATCAAATATTGCTGATCAAAACAACACAGGCAGCACTCCCCATCTCTCCCATCTGCACTGTCCAGGTGTTTCGCTGAGGAGCAAGTTTAAAGGTTTCTGAGCACCAAGGGACTGCCTGTTTCCATAGGACAGGTAGCTCTTGCAGGGGCAAAGTCCTGTGTTACTATAAAGCTTCCAGTTGCTCCTCCAGGCTGATCTCTCCAGCTTTATGAAGGAGCCCTTCCTATGCTTTTCTCTACCACAAGGGTCCCAGAATGCACGTGTTAGCACTGCAGCATTTTATTTTCCCAAATCCCCACCGTCAATTGTAATAGCAGCAACATGATACTTCAATGAGGGGATTTGTTCAACAACCTAAAAAGCCTTTTGCAGGGCCAGTGCCAGCATGAATGCTTTGCAGGCGGGACAGCTGAAGCCCAAGAAGTGAAGCAACATGCCAGGATCACATGATGGAGTCAGACAGAGCAGATCTGCTGGTACACGGCCTCCTGCTCTGCACGCTGGGCTTACAGCCCCAGTTCTTCCAGGGGACATCAGCTTCCATCCTACACTTCACTCCATACTGCCCGTCTTTGTCTTTAGAGTCACAACGGCCTGTCTTTATATCACATCTAGAGTAGTAGATGTGATGGCTACTTAAAAAATATACAGTGTGCAAAATAAGCAACGACCGGGACCTGACAGCAGACAGGCACAACACAGCTCTCTCTGCAGACTGACGGCGAGATCTCCAACACGTACACCTCAAGGTACCATGCCTGCGTGCGTGCAGGCTCCACTCAATTATCAACCACACCTCCAGTTGTGGGTTTTAAATTATCTGAGCAAAGGCCACGCCAGGACTTATTTTTAGTCTAATATTGAAAACTGGTCTGTCCGCATGGCCCTCGGTGGACTGACTTCTGTCTGCTCTACCCGTGCTCTGGGCTGGCTGTACACCCTTCAACTCCAAAGCAACAGCACCATGCTGACATTTATAGCATTGCTGACTCCAGGAGAGCACAGTGCCTTCAGACTGGAGTGACCAGAGATTGACCAGCCAATTAACGTGCAGGTCTGCCATGGTCACCCAGTAAAGGCCATGCCAGACTGGACTTGAGACAAGGTTTGGGGGAATTGGCTGAACCTTAATTACATGGCACATCTTACTGTGGTATATGCTGAAGGTTCGATTCAACTAGATGTGACTTACAAACCACATCACAGTAAAGACGTCACTGAGCCATTGTAATCATGCAAGTCCGCCAGGCCTATCTCACCTGGGAGAAAGAAAGTAAGGAAAACGTTTCCAACACTCAGCCATGCTAAGCATTGGGGGAGGTATTAAATGGGCGAGGGAGAGCCTGAATAAGTCTAAACCAATGAGTCTACAAACTTAGTCCAATGACATCACCAAGATGACAGCTATGAAATCTGTGGACCCAAACTGGTGTGTGGAGAGTTAGACTTAATTGGAGAAAGAAGGGCTGTTTCACCTACCCTCCCACAGGGATTTCTAAAGGGATTTCAGTGAGGGCTTGTGATCCCCAGCAGTTGAAATAAAGGCCCCAAAAATCAGTCCGGAGAGCCCAGCTTTCATTCAGGTGCCTCACATTATCCCCCAATCCTCATGTTCCCAGCACAACTCAGCACTGCCTCTTCTGCTCTTTCTCCCTCTTTCATCTTCTCATCTGATCCCAAACCTCCCCCTGCTGCAGAGCACCCGTAGAGTGAGATTAGACAGCCGAGCCAGCCCTGCCAGCCTACCCAGACTGGTAAAGTAGAGGCACTCAACCAGATTAGCTGGATAGCGACCTAGACAAAGGGCATGAGCAGAGTCCGGGTGAGCCGCTGCAATGATCCACATGCTGGTTTAGAGCATCTGCCCATCACTGGCAGATCCTCTCGTATCCTGATGGTACCAAACCATGCTTCCTCCACCCAGCCTGTATTCTTTTTTTACCCTCAAGACTTTACCTGTTTGTTGAAGTCAAGGAAATAAACTAGAGGAGAACTCAACAGCAGAAAATAAGCAAAAGGGATTACCTGACCTTTTCAGAGATTTCAAACATTATCTTACCTTTTAAATATGAAACTTTGATAAGATTTTAGCATCTTTGTCCTGCATAAACCTTCCATCTCAGAATGCTCTACAGATTGCTCTGAACCTTCTTTCATTCTTGCCTCCAACAAAATGTTTCTAAACTTTGACACTGATTCCTATTCTGTTTACCAAGCAAGTCTGTAGCCACAGACTCCTGAACCTTGTTTAGCTGCTCCAAGCTGCACAGTGACAGGATCACATTACCATTTTGAGTTCTCTGGATGTTGAAATGAGCATAAAGGACCTTTCTCTCTGCATCAGGGCACATGATCAAGTTACCCCACCCCTGCAAGTTCCTGCCTGTGAGCTGAGCCACTATGACCACCCAACTGCACAATCTTAGTCTGTGACAAACACAAGACAACATGTCTTATTTAACACTTTTTCACTATGGATGAGGCTACTGCAACTATCTCATGCTTACTGGCCTCAATAGGAAGACTTCTTGATAAGAGTAGTAGGCATGTCTTCTTTTTTGAGCCCCAGTGCTTTCTGAAGAAAGCATCTCTAGGGCTGCTGTAGTCTAACAATGCTGAAACAAAAGCATATACTCAGAGGAAGGTGTAAGACTGTGGTACCATGTCAAAATATGCAGCATCGTGGAAAGACTTTCCCAGACACCAGATTTCCTTTCTGAATCTGGCCCTCAGAGTCTATCTTGACCATGTGGACCAAAGCTGGTGTTAAGATCGACACTACACCCCTATGACCAGGCTAGCACTCACCACACTCCATGGTCCAGCTTGTTCCATCTGCTAAATGGCTCTAGCTCATCTGAAGGTGTCCACACCACTGAATGAAGCTGAGTGGGACCCCATGCCATACACATACCATGTAGTGGGGGCATCAGGAAACCCAGCTCTCTGTCTGGCAGGTCCCAGTACTCACCCCGAGTATAGGGTTGCATCCACATGGGCTGGACAAGGATGCCAGGCATATTTGAATCCAGACAGCCCTCAAAATGCAGTACTGTCAGATCCCAGATCTCCCAAGTGTGCTGTCTTTGGTCCCAGATCCAGACTGGTATCAGGGTTGTCTTTACACCAGAAACACCATGAGATCCTGGGGTTTCTCCATACTGTCATGAGATCTGTGAGGCCCATACCGAACAGTGCCCCTGTCAAAGGGAACCAGAAGTCCTGCTCCAGCCAGCATGTAGGGGAACAGCAGCTGGGGAAGAGATCCCATGCACATCATCATAATAATGCAGAAGTTTCCAAGAACCTATGATACCAATCTGCCTCCTTGCACTCTGTAGCCTTGTGTCAGGTGCCAGCTAGGCATGGTGCTGAGATGGAAAGCAGAGGGACAAAAAATATGCTTCCAGAGAAAAACATTACCCAAGAATGGAGACAGAACACCTTGGAGACCTGGGCTGCATTTTGAGTGCTGTCTGGTGTGTAAACCTGCCCTGTGTCAAGGATGCAGCAGTGCCCCAGAAGTCTGTGGCCACTGGAGAAGAGGAGGAGGAAAGCAGGGGTGACTCAGAATGTGGCAGGATTTGCTAGTAGCTACACATAGAGGTGGTAAGAAAGGCTTCAACAGTGCTCCAAGGGGGAAATATGTGATATCCCACTCCTTTTCCCAAGGCAGGGGTAGAAAGGAAGGTCAGACCATGCAGGAAGGAACTGGGACCTTCAGGAAAAACACTAGTTAAAAATGTATACACCAGGAGCAACAGGGCTACAGGGGGTGAGGCACATGGGGCTACACGGAGTGATGGGTTTTTACCCCCTTGCCCATAGGGACTGTCTGGGCCATGGGGAGAACACAGTGAGCTTCTTGAGGTGTAGGGTCTAACACCCTTGCCCAGCCTACCTGGTAAGATGCCTGCCCCACACCATGGGCCAAACAGAAGCGACCAAGCGCCGTGACCAAGCTGCCTGTGCGAGGCATTCCCTGCTTTCCCAGGGAACTGCAGCTACCACCAAGTTTGCATGGTGCTTTCTCAACACGGTGTTTAAAATCCAGTGGATCATTTACAACCTTTCAGTGAAACAATGAGAGCTGGGACAACCTACAGGTGCCAGACAAGCTTTTGAATATAGATATTTAAAAGAAATGCAAGAATTTTACAAGAATGAGATACTTGTCAGATTTCCAGATCATCACACCTCACAACATCTTATTTACCTCCCCATATGTTATACACATGTGCAATTCTATGATAGACCATCAGTAACAATAAAAATCAGGGGGACTATGTGTTATTTAGATAGCAATTGAGAGAGATCATAAAAAAGGAATGTGAAGGAAAAAGTCAATTACAGCTTCAACTCTGGAGACTTTACCATCTCTTCACATCGTTAAGAAAAAAACAGACAGTCAAGGATGATGTTCCCACAGAGGAAAGAAGTTTTTCAAAAGAAGAAACTTCTGTGCAAGCCACATGACATTTTGCCAGTTTCTTTTCTATTGTTGAAATTTGGCTTTTAGTGAAAATAGCATATATCTAATGCAATGCAAATGTGTAGCATGGATCTATGCTGGTGAACACAAAGGAAAAATCATGGGGAAGGATGGTATGGACATTGCATTAATGGTGCTGCATTTCAGCATGATGTCCACAGTGCAGTGGAAGGCTAAGCACAACACAAGAGCAAATTTTAAGTGCAGTTTTCTAATCAGAAAAGCTTTTAAAGGATACCTGGCCAGTCCCTGCTGTGGCTGCAATCAGATTTCCTTTAAAATCATAAAAGATTGAGCTTTCCAAGGAGGAAACATCCCCATAAAATCTGCGAAGCGGAATTGTCAACAGAGAGGCACAGCCAGCTGCGCTGTCAGTTCTGGGCGTGAGCAGCTGGAATGGAAATATAGCACAGATCTCAAAATAACCGCCTGGTCTTCTGCTCTCCGGGTGCCTGCTCGTTTGGCCGGGATCCTGGTGGGCTGTCCAGCGTGCTGACGCTGCCTGGGTGGCGCAGTGTCCCCCAGCGCGGAGGGGCTCTCCGACACAGAAATAATGCCCTCCACCAGAAAGAGCTGAACCAACGGCCAGGCACCTGGCTTCTAGATCTACACTTGTATAAATGCTTTGATTTTTATTTTTATGTGCCCATTTTCTACTGCATTTGTGACAACTGAATGGGAGGGAATGCTAAAAAGCACTTCCACCGCATTAAATCTAATTAAACATTTTGGGAAATCTGTTCTTGTTTTCTGGAGACTCAAGGAAAAATGTGATGGCAGGGCGGAGATGTATTTTCTGCGATTTTCTTATGACTTATGCTTAGAAGACTCACGTCTTTTTTCTTGTATTTCCTATAGCCTCTTTTGGTTTTCTCACCTATCCTCAAAAAAAACCCCCAAACCCAAAAACAAACCAACAAGAAAACCCGCTAAATCAAAGGCCGTAGCAAGCACATCTTACAAATATCAATAAACCTGTGTATTGAAAGAGTTGGGAATGCTTAAAATCCAGCTGCAATTTTAAGTAGTACATTCTTCAAGTTACCATTGCAAAAGTTACCCCTCTCTAAGATAGACACCAGCAATATAAATCATATTTTCTGAAAGAT